CGCTGTGACGTAATCGGTCTACAAATGCGGCCTCAGGAGGAAGCAGCCCGTGAATTTGGACACGACCACAGACTTTACTTGGGTGGGGATTATTAACAGGAAGTCACCTGAGTCAGACGCTCTGCTGGGATTGATTTATTAGTCAGTCCAGTGTAGCGCAGATCACTGCTGACCTCGGCCGTCTACGTCTAATCACACCAGAGGAGGCTGTAAAACTTTCAGGAGTCTGATATATTTTTGAGCCTCAGAAGTTTATCACAGCATCGTTACCAGGTCTGGGACACCAGCACACCCTTCTGGGGAAATCAAATTAACTCAGTCCTTCAGACGTTATTTCAATTTCCTCTCCTGCCACGAAAGCCTAGTTTCAGATTAATGAATGCATGTCGTACTGGGACCATGCAATGAATGTGCGTACCAGCAGCAGTACTGGTTAGATAAATGCTACTTATGTGTTCTCACTGGATGTTTAGTCAAAGCCAGGTTTGTTTCTGGCATAGATCACGCCGTCAGCTGTTCTCAAACACCCGTCTCAGCGCCAGCGACACAAGTTGGAAAAGTGAGCGTCTAAAGAAACTCAGGATGCTCACTTGTTGTCAGCAGCATCATGGAGATTCTTTCTATCACATCCTTCAACTTTAACCACGAACACATTCATCTTGTAACAAAAGCAGCTGCCTCAACACAGCAGGCAGAGGAGGAAGTCAGAGCTCTTTGACATGGATGGAGTCAGGACCATCAGGCCATCGGGCTCTGTGAAGAGTGCTGAAGCGTAGCTCACAGATCAGGCACAGTAACAATAAACTATTTGTTTCAACAGTTTTGCCGCTCTGAGCACACGAGTGGTCTGATTGGTCTGATTGGTTTATCTGCAATCAACAAATCTGAAAAACAAAGCCTCTGATGTGTCCTTCTAACTGTAACAGCTGAGCACGCTGTGGTAACTGTGTCAGACACAGGCCTGCCAATAATGCTGTGCTGCCCAAAGAAACGGAGTGGGCGGAGTCAGGGTCACGTGACCAACAGCTGATAGAAACTGAGATTGGTTTCAACATCAAACCGCCACAGGCTCAGTGACTCCATTTAAGGCCACGGGCCGTGTCAGGTTCACCTGATGTGCGTCCTCGACAGTCAGCATCACGGTGAGGAAACGATCCACGGTAACAGTGCTGCCTGTGTTTATAGGAGAGAAGAAGAGCTGCTGTTTGGAGGTGAGTACCTGTGATCATGATGACTCGTATTCCAGCCTGCCGACACATTCGCACCGCGTTAAGCACTTCTTTTCTCGGGGGATCCAACATCCCCACGCAGCCCACAAAGGTCAGGTCGGACTGGGAAGAACAGACGACAGAAACCGTTACGTGTCTGCGGCGTGATACTCCCTTTCACCGCTCCGTCGATCCGACCACGCGTCTAACAAGCTCTCACCTCGTAGGTAGCAAAGGCCGCTGAGTTCTCCAGGTTGAGGCGGTGGATGTCAGGAGGCGCGTCCCTCGTCGCCATGGCGAGACATCGCAGCGTGTCCCGGCCCGTCGCCCACTCCCGTACGACAGACAGGAGCTGCTCTCGAACCGCCGGGCTCAAAGGCACGCGAGCAGAGCCGCTGACTCGGACGTAGCTGCAGCGTTCCAGGACGCTCTCCGGCGCTCCCTGAGCAGAAGGATCAGAGCGCTCAGTATCGCCGTTGCTCCGTAAAAGCGGAGACGCCGGCGTGTGCACCGACCTTAACAAACATCTTGGCTCCTGCAGCAGATCTGGTGAGTTTGTTGGATGAACAGAACACGGACATGGACTTCCTGTCTCTGGAGAACTCTAAAGTCAGCTCTTTCTTCATGAGCTGCTTAATCACCTGAAAACAAACACATGTTTAGTACGACTCCGCCACATCAGCGATGTTTCTCTTTTCTTTCAGCTCTCCACAGTTTATTCTTTGCTGCTCTTCAGCAGACCACCTTCACATTTGCTTACTGGGTAACGATGTGTGAGACAGAAGGGAGAGCACGGAAACAGACCCACGTCCTGCTTAAAGGCCTCACAGTGGGGCAGTTTCTGTTTCCACGTCAGCCTTCAGCCGTGCACTTACGGAGCAGCAGGCGGTGGCTCGCTCAGCAGGGCTCAGTCCTCTCAGGTCCGTCTCAAACACGTTCATTTTCTCCACCAGACAGCAGAGGGCGGTCTCTGTCGCCTCCCCGACCTTCTCATACGCAGCCTTGGCCTGGATCACACACAGAGACAGGACGCCGTTTCTGCCTTGTTTACTGGCCGGTTTAGAGTGAAAACAAGTCTCATTCCACTCCCACTCGGGCCACGACCATATACGGTCATCTGTGACGGTCTGTTTGCATTTCTTACCTCGTTGTAGTCGAGCGATGAGTCGTTACACAGCGCACAGATGGTGGCCATCTCCACCAGGCCTTCATACCGACTGCACTTCACCGCTGAACCGTCCTTGTAACTGGAACGACGAGGAACAAAGACGGGAATGTTTTTAAACTACAGCAAAAAGATTTCGACGTGTGAGCTTTTACGCTGAATCGTCAGTTAAGTAGTAAAGGTTAAAGACACTCACACGTCCCCTTCAGGGGCGTACGTAGATCCAGTCACTGTGAACTCGCTCAGGCTGCAGCGCTCCCCTGACACACTGTCTACTACGAACATCTACACACATGCAGGCACACACAGACACACAATAGCTCATTAGTGCAGGTTAGAACATGTTATTTGACCTCATCTGTGACGATGCTCCACGTTTCTCTCCTGCAGCAGGTGTCGAGGCCTCGCTGGACAACATAACGGATTATATCATCAGAGTGAAAGCAGAGGTCAGTAAGAGACACCTGCTGGGTCTCGCGTCAGTCACTCAACTGGACTGCTCGACCTTTTTCGTGGTGCTGCTCCCTCACATATCACATGCATGAGACTGGAGTGCAAACCAGACTCCAACTAACCCAACATGGAAACAACCGGAGACGTCCAGAAGCTGCAGGCCAGCAGTTTGCATCCAGGAGCAACATGGACACGTGTTTAGAGACAAAGCAGTCTGAGACACATCGAGCGTTAGTGCAAAATTACGAGCTGTTAATGTGTAAAAAGTAAGAACGTACATGCTGCAGCAGGCAGAGGCGTACAGCAGTGTAGCTACTGGCTCCCTCTCACATCTTACCCTGCAGACTGACATCTGGTTGGTGGTTAGCGTTCCTGTTTTGTCCGAGCAGATCACAGAGGTGCAGCCCAGCGTCTCCACTGACGGTAAGCTGCGGACTATGGCATTCTTCCGAGCCATTCTCCTGGTTCCCAGGGCGAGGCAGGTGGTAATGACTGCTGGAAGGCCTGGAAGGGAACAAGCAGAGGAAGGAACTCTGTTCACCTATCCTAGTGAGACGTTTACAGTTTCCTGTCTGAGACCGCTGAGCTGATGCTGCGTGCCTTGCTTAACCCTTTAAGACCTACCATAGAACCAAGTCCGCCAGAGCTTATATTATATGTTTACATGCTGTGGAGCCATTTTTGG